CATGAAGATAAATTGCAGTTGTAAAAGCACTTAAAAAAACTTAGTTGGGTTCTGAATTTCTAAAACGATCAGCAGTAGTGCCATCTTAAGCATATTGCGTCATAAAATTTGTGGTTTTAAAGATGTGTTTGTTAAACCTTGAAGTGTGAATATTTTGCATTCAGGCTAGGGGAAAAAGAGCAAAAAATTCAAATTGCATTCTAAAATGCTTGTATTATTTTATAATACAAGTGGAAAATGGGAGAGAAAAACTTCCTATACATGATTTAATCGTATTACAATTGGAAAGAAGTCTTAGTGAACTACTTGGTTGAAGCTAATTAAAGAATACATACTAAGTACTTAAATTTGTTGTGTGATACAATTACCGGATTTCGATCCAATGTAGGTCGCGACTTTCGAAAGTGGAGATAACGTCTTTTTTAAAATTGATGCAAACTCAGGATTCAGATTTAACGATCAAGGAATTTTATCTAATCAGACCACCTATTAGAAGTTATTGTACCATAACGACTAGATGAAGACCTATGCATTAAGTTAAAACTTTTTGAGAAAAGGTACTTAAATCAGCAAATTCATTTCTTATCTTTTACCACATATGATAGTAAAAAAAGAAGGGGAAAGTTTTCTAGTTAGTTCCTTTGGCCTGTTCGTTGACATGTGGCGGTTTGTTATGTGGCGCCCTGTGTCTCCCGAAGACGGTAGAAATCATAGTGTGTTGCCAACGTAGAGAACGGCTGGAGGGCTATTGTCATTGCCAGAAGGCCGTCCCACTTAACATAAGTACAAGGTCGGAACCTTAAGTGTTCGCGTAACCAAAATAGAGTTAAATAAACAGTCGAAGCATTACACACCCCTTCTCGTCTTATGAGTGTTGTTCTGGACGCTTGCCCTGTTCAACCTCTAACGTTGACCATCGAAACGTAGTCGGTACTGTTTAAAAAGATACCCACGAAATAACTACGCCAATCATTCAATTTGCGCGTAAATGGGCCGATATTAAACCGTCACGTCACTGATCCATTTTGACATTCCCACTACACCTGGAGTTCCATCTTGTTTGGGAGCTGTTGCTGGAGAATGGGAAACGCGCAGGCCATCAAGTAGCTGCTCGTTATCCGTAAGAACACTGGCCTTAGAGTCATTGAATAAAATAGGGGGCTAAAGTGATTACGTGTGGATGACGTTTCGCATTTATTCCTCCTTGCCACTTGGTTCTCACCTTATTTATGCCCAGTTATATCTATCCACATGAATTGTATCCAAATAATATAGTTGAAGGTGGCATTGCATGTCCACCTATTTGGCATCTTTATATGGCTAATGTAGACAGCTCTGTGGCGAACTTTTCCAAGTGGATCACGAGTGGTATCACTTCGGCTGAAAATAGCATTCCCGCAGAATACGGGACTGGGGCAGGTACCAAAGGCAGACGTCATTTTCAGTCCCTCCATTAGGAGCAGTCGTAGATATGTCTATTTTCCATAGAGTTATTTATAGCATTCAGTAATAGGAATCAGGGTAGTTGTCCCTTAGGGGCGGTTTTGTTTCCTACTAACACCAGCATAGCATCGTAAGTCTATTTTACAAGCCGAAAGAAGGCAGAATACTAAGACAGAAAATGCATCGCCGATGCAGAGTTAGGCTAAAGGACCACGTGTATACCCTGGAGGTCATACCACTCAAAGGAAATGCAAAGGAGGGGCCTTTGGTCCCAGCGTAGCCAAAACAAGTGTTAAACCAACGATTAAATCTCTGCACGCCATAATTTGTAGTAACATGGGCTTAAAAAGCGTAAAGTGTATGAAAAAGATGTTGCATTTCTATCACATTTAGAAAAAATCATGATATCCAATGTAGCTGAAGTACTTCAAGGTGAAGACACCTAGATCTTACTGTGATCCTTTGCGCTAAGGGGTGTATCACTGTTAAGGCATTTATTCAAACTTTATTAAACGCTTTCACAGTGTAGGGTGTATAGTTTCACTAGACCGCATACCTGCCTTGAAGTGAGAAATTTCATAGTAGAGAATCCATTGCATAAGATCAGCAAATACAAACCAGATGGGATTTCTGGCATAAACTTATTCGATACTGGGATTACTCGGTTGTATCAAATGGTACTACAAGCGGCAAAGTGGAAGAAAAACGAAATTTTTTAAATATAATTATTTTACGGATTTCGAGGGACATAAACTATTTACTGGAGGCTGTGATAACAGACTGTGGTAAACAAAGTATACAGTCAAACGAAACTAGGTCATACAGATATCAGAAAAGTAGTTGGGAGACTAAATAAAACGCATTCTGTACAATTATCAATGCCGACTCTTGTTGAGTTGACTCACCTACCTCACTACTTCATTTCATTAATTTATTCAAACTCATCTAAGAATTTATGCTTGGATGATATGCGCCAAACTGTTACCACCGGCACGTATTCGTTATTTCTGGTCTCAGATTGGCTCACCTATCTGGTTTAGTTGACGTTATCACTGATTGACGGAACGTAATTTGTCACTCAAAATACAAATATGCAAGCTACAAGTTTGTATAACAATCGTTTAGTAAACCTCTGAGCCATCTTTAAGTTTTCATCGACTTAAGGCTAGAAATGAATCTTATTTCCAAAAATCCAGATTTTGAATAAAGCACATGGACAAATAACTGCTCACGTAAGCTATTAATTAAACGGACTGCACTCGACTTGGCTGCTGAAATTTCCAATGCACTGTTTTTTTATTAAAGCCTTATGAAGATCATCCTCTTTTATTAGGGTTTGCCATAATTGATGTGGTCAGGCTTCCTCAAAATTAATTGAGACAAGTCAAGTTTTGAGGGGAAAGAGATGTGCGCACTCCAATGCATTCTGGCTGTACAGTAACTCCAGAGCACAATAGGCCTCAGTCAATCTCAAACAGGAATATTAAGCCCCTGTGCACCTCAATAATTGCACAGTAGCGTATAAAACTACATTATTAAATGATTAAGTGAATAACAGAAGCCGCCTTTATAATGCCCGCAAAAAGATTTTAGCGTGCCAAATGCCTACTAGAGAGAAAATATTGCTATCTAGGGAGAATAAGATATGCTGGACTAGTAAATCCACAATGTAAAAATTTTAATAAAACAGTAACTTCGCTCTTTTATTTTATATAAAAAGGAATGTAACGCTAAATACAGATGTAGAAAAGTAAAATTACCAAAACTATTAAGCAACACCCATGCTAGATTAAATAACTCGACACTGAGTTTATGTAGGAAAAATTAGGAATTGTAAAAGTACCTTTATGGCTAATTTTATTCTAAGAGAGACATACCATTTCACAGAGATAAAGGAGGCAATGATCATAATAGATTGGTTGAAAGAGAAGAGAAAGTGAGTAAGTTTAAAGCACTCCTGTTGCTTCTACGGTGTTGTTGATCACAAAAACTCTAGAGATGGGAAAGCGCCAATGAGCAGGCCCGCATTTACGTGAAATCCGATGCAACAAGCATTGTCACAATGAGTCGTCGAAACGACTGCCAAGTGAATTGCACCATAAGTATTACTTCCAATTTCTTTTACTTCGTTAACGTACCGAAACTTATCACGAATTATCCGCGTGCTTGGTGTGTCAGGTTCCCTTCTTAGTGAATACCCCGAATGAGGTAATATCATTCCTTTATTACTAGGCTGATTCATCGTTGTGTGATTGACAGGGACAAATGGACTTGTCGTATTTCGATCACGGCATCAAATAATGTCGATGTTGCGAAATTATACACAAGTTGAGACAATACATGCTATGTCGCCTGAAAGGACCAATGTTAAGAGAGAAAACGATCTATTAAAAGAAAACCGCACTTTATTTATCGGAACCAGTGGGTAAATAAAGTACTAGTTTGTATAAAAGTAGGCATAGGCATATTTGACCAAATACTACAAGTTCTCGCCAAGTCGATATTCTTGGTCATTCAGTTGTATGGAGTCATAAGCTGGTCTTAATAGCCCAAATTTCCATTCTTGAGAGAGAGGAAGCATCCTGTGCTGCAGCTTTACCCAAAATCATTCCCTGTGCGTGACCCCCGACAATGAGGATGACAAATTAGGAAAGTAAAAAAGAGGTGAGCGTTGTTCTTAGAGCAAAGCTTAAATAAAATGAAGAAGAAACGGCGAATTAGGTTTTCTACATCCGTGTGATATTTATTTGCACATTTTATTAACAAAGGGATATAAATACATTCTGCAGTTTAGCAATAAGCATCAGGGGAACCAATTCTATTCCTTATCTTTTTAAACATATTAAGTGGAAGTGTAATCACGAACATGATGTTTGGAAAACAAACAAAAAAATCGGGTACAGATGCGGGCTTTAAGTAAGTGATTAAAGAAGTTTCGCAAAATTCATAAGAATTTAATAGGACTAACATCTATTTTGCTTCAGCACTCGAGTAACTTAGAAAAGAATACACGAAAAATAGATAGTTATTAGAAGTTTGAGTGGTGCCCATTAATGGGGAAATAAAGCATATGAATAATGATTTACTTTGAAATAAAAACGTACTCGTGGAAAAACACAAAAGTAGATTCCTGGAAAGGACCATCTGAAATTGGGCAACAATGTTTAAACTAAAAGACTAACTCACTTCTTGTAATACTAAATTCTGCACACTTAAGAATTCATAATTTGTAAACTAATTCGAAAGTTCTGACGACAGGAAAGTAACTGCAAAGTCAAAAGCCCGAACATTATAAGTGAATTTAATTCAATTTATGGTGACGCATCACGCACAGAGCCAAGAGAACTAAGAGGATCCTGATCAAAGAAGCGCGCAGAGAGTGCTCGAATAGACAAATGGCACACACAAAGGTACCGACAGAATATATAAAAGGTGACAAGAAGTAGAGCAGAAGTCATTGGAGTGCGTTCAGTGTCAAAATGAAAAGCCTATTTTTATGGTTATTTTTTGTTAGCATCGTAGCAAAAAGTTATGCAGTGCAAGAACCAAAGGTAAAGATGAAATTGGAAGCTCAAATAGACATACCCGAAATATGTCCAGGAAATTATAACAGGAACAAAATATGCAATAAAAAGGTAATAGAAACAATAAAAGAAGAAAAGGAATTCGGAAACGAGAAGGATGGATGTAAAAAGAATCTGACACAAAAGGAAGAGGATAAAGTAGATGGAGGAAGCGTACAAATTGAAGAGAAGAAACCACAAGAGATAACGAAAGAAGACGAAGGGGAGAGTGAAGGAGGTGCTGGTGGTGGAGTGATCGGTGGAGGTGTGGAAGGTGAAGTCACCGAGTCACATGGGAGCATTGGCGGCATCACGGAGGGATACGTGCTAATGACGGAGTCGGGTGAGGAGGAAGGCGAAGAGGAAGGTGAAGGGGAAGATGAAGACGAGGACGGAGATGAAGACGAAGAGGAGAGTGAAGGAGGTGCTGGTGGTGGTTTGGTTGGTGGTCATATGGGAAGCCAAAGTTCAAATTTTTCCAATAATTCCTGTTCTTCAAGCAACATTAGCGTTAATACTAATGACGCTAATCACGGCCACGTCGATTATGATGATGAGCTTGTCGATGATGATAATGACGGTGCTGACGACGTTGATGAGAATATCTCCTTTGATGATCATGGTGACAATATTGACTTTGATGTCGATGATAATGACGACGACGGTAACGACAATGCCGATAATGGCGACGACGATGGAGGTCATTTCAAACCTGGATGGATTGCTGGAAATAATGAATGGGTGGGCCACGGCTCTCTTGGTGACAATGTCGACGACAATGACGAAGATGATGATGACGATGGGCCATTTAAACCTGGCAGGGTTCCTGGTGGTGGTCATGGCAAGGGACATGGCCATAATAATAAATGGATCTCCCACTGGTCTAGCGATGACGGCGATGATGATGACGATAATGGTGATGTTGGCCGATTTAAACCCGGTCGAATTCCTGGCAGTGGTAGTGGCAAGGGGCATGGCCATAATAATAAATGGAACGTCCACTGGTCCGCTGGTGTTGATGATGATGATGATTAAGCTGTTCCTGATATCTATTAATCCTACTTTAGATTGGACGTCAAAATTTATCGTGTAATCTTATTCACACCATTTTAACCCCTCTGCTTTCCGATTATCCTCATGTATCTACTTGCTACTCCATTTCATATACACTGTTGACCCCGTGTAATTTGTCTACAAAGAATAAGTCTGATCGCGAAATGTAATTTGCATTATTATTCTCTAATAATGATTGGAGTGCATTCATTATGGGAATATGATTAGGCTGCTCGTAAGTATTTAATACTTCTTGTATGTCTAGCTATTAGGACTTTAAAAATTGGGGTAAAATTTGTTGCACACAGGAACGACTGTTTTTAGGAATGTGTAAATATAATAGTACTGATAAAGTTCTATTAATTTGTGAATGATTTTGTCCTGCAATAGAAATATATGCTGTCCTCTCTAGATCGCAATATCCTAAGTACTTTTACTTGTTTTTAGGACAGATATTTTGCTGTTGTAAATAGTTCGATATTCTGTAAGAATTTTGTGCAAATTGCATTTTCACTCAACTTATAAATAATCGTAACAACCGCTTGAAGATGTGAAATGCTTTGCTGCTTAATTTCTCCAGGTTTGTATTATTATAACTGCTGCAAACCACGTCATTTCTCTTGGGTGTTGCCCCATTCTCCTTCCCCTTCTACAGCGAAGAATAGATAACGATGCGAATGTTTGAGAATATACAAGGTCTTTGAAATGACACAATGTACTACTGATTCTTGAGATTCCTGTAGGTGGTGCCTGCAACAAGCCACTGATAAAAAGAGAAAACTGAAACCTGTCCAGAACCTCAATTTCACAATCAATATACGAGTAGCAAAATCATACTATGGGAGAAAGTAATCTTTATAGAAGGTTTATCAGTTATAAATTTTTTAAACCGTCACGCATTTAGAAAATATCGCATTTTGTGTAAATTCGGCAGGCAGTATAAATTAATTAAATCGCTGTTTCCTCGAAGAAAATAACTCAAAACATAACCTTCAAACCAGGTAGTAGATTATTCGTAATTTACGTGGTGTACAGGAGAACAGGAGTTGAAGCATTTCACTGGTAAAAGTAATTAGTCGGACATGATGTTTGAACATCTGTTTGATAGTCATCTCAGTCACCGCTGTATGAGAAGTGGCAATAACAGATGCATCACACAAGAGGTTCCAATGCATGCAATCAGTTGCACAACCATCTAAGATTGGAATGATCATTTATTTCATCAGAAATTCACACTAATGCAAGAGAAAACTTTACGAGGTTTTAGCAGTGGTGCTACCAGTGGCGGAGAGCTCTCGACTTCTGCTGGTCATTCACCAAGTAGTTCCAGTAGTGCCATCATTATTTTGGCACAAAATTCACCAGCCTGTTGGGGTACGTATTACTGTAAAGTGCTTTAAAACCGTAACAGTTGTGTTAGTTTTAATTAGCGGTTGTTAAACAGCGCTATGCAACCATTTTGCCCTTAAGTTAATTTTGCGTAAAACCTTACAATTTTACAAATTTATCGATGGTAATTTGAGGATTACTCGAAACGCCGAAAGGCTAGCGTTATAGAAGAGGAGGTAAAGAGGAGGCAAATTTCGTACAAATAACTTTATGGTGTGTCAAATCAAATGAGAGAATGTAGAGGGAACCACTATTAGCACTTGCCTCTGTGTACTTTCAACTCTCGATACGTACAAACAAGCCTCATACTTCGCCTGTTTTAGTTCTGTAATAAATCAAAAGTGAATGTTCACACGTTGATTTGATTTACTTACTCATTTATGGCAAAACAGGAGATTTCTAAAATCACATACCAGTACAAGTTAAAATGACATGAAAGCTTTTGCACAGGAATAACAAAAACAATAAAATAGGTTTAGGGGCTGAAATGGTTCAGTAAAGCTCATGTATCTCCACAGTGCGAAAAAACAGAAGCTACATGTGCTATCGTTAAGTTCCCTAAAATGACGATACAGAATAGAGTTTTTTTAGCTGTAGAGGTGCCCAAAGATTCACACTTTTAAATACATTTGATTTAGGGCTCTCTTGTACACCAACTGTTACTTGGAGCTTAATCGTATCGTCATTGATTTTGTCAGTGAATTTGGTACGTTATGAGGCTTCCGCACTTCTGGACGGGTCTACTTGGTGCCCCTGCCTGTCAATGATCCCACTGAATGACGCTATATAAATTCATTAGGAAAAGAATGCGTAGAATATCGTCCACCATCACGGTGCCTTCTGGTAAATGATTAGCGTATCAAATAGCTCTTTTAGAAAGAACGCTTTGACTTTAATGCAAAGATTTTAGGTTTTGAACTGAATATGTTGTTCTTTTGGCGCCAACAGGAATGGTAAGTGTAGCAACTATTTGAATGTAGCTTTTAGGCCAGGAGCATTCATTAAAAATGTACCTCTTATCGAAGGCCCCCATCAATCTCCGAAGGAGTTGATTGCTATGAACGTCCATTTTCCTAATTTTTCTGTTTCCTTTTCCAAATACTCCCAATAAGGATGTTCCTACTCAACCAATCTGCTTATTCCAAAGGAATAAAGTCGAGGGAGGAGGAGATAAGTACTAAACCTATCATAATGCTGACAGTGGCAGCAAATCTCAACTCTCATGATCGATTTGGGTTTCAAAGGATGATTTAAAACTGCCAAATTGAACTCCTGGCTCAACTATTGACGTCAGGAGCACTCCGGAACCTCCACCGCTATAGAAGCAAAAATCACCCCGGACACCGATTTTAAACATTGTTGCGTTCCTTTATCTCAACTAATCATTGAGCAGAAATAGCAGACACCTGCCAGAGGGTTCTTTCGTCGGACCAGAAAACGAAGAAAGACGACAGGGAGTACGATAAGAACCTCCAACTTCTATCATGAGGAGCTTTCCGTGGCTCGCCTCCAAACAGAGTCGCTGGACCTGAAACCATCCAGTTTAGACAAGAGTTCGACGGCTCATTATGGCTGGGAGACTTTATGGCACAAATTCGAACTCCCTCAGCCGGCTGACGAAGTTCGCAACCAAGAAGAGTCAGGAGCTGCTTACGGTCCCATGCTACAACAACCACAATAGGCACCCAAACCCAAAATCCGCATGTAGTGATCCTCCGCGTAATACCCAAAATTTGACTTTAATGCATTCTTGCAAAACACAACCAAACTAGAGGGGCATTCATACAATACCCCCCTAAACTTTTGCCCGATGGTAATTATTCAGTCCTTGCCCACACGATTAGAATAGTTCCACAATCTAGCAGATTAAGTTCTGCAGAAGAAAGGGAGATGGTGGTGGAAAGAGCGGCATAGCTAAGGGTCTGCATAGGTAAATGGACCTGCATAGCAAAATCTATTACATACTCAGAACTGGCTTATGACGTGATCCATGGCATTGATTTTCTACGAAACAATAAAGTCGTCTTGAATTTTGTGCAGGTTGCCTTATCAGTCTACAAGACATTAAAGTCAGTGCACCTTTTTTCGGTGCCGAAGGAAGAGGTTGATGACATTTGCAATGCCTTCTTCGAGGCCGTAGCTGTACCCAAGAACAACCTAGATGACCTCTAAGCACAGCTAACTCACAGCACCGACAACAATAGAAAATAACTTCTCGAGCTACTGCTTAAGTAAGCCAATATATTCTCATGGGAAGGGGCTAGGCTTAAACGAACCAGTAATCTGGAGCATACGATGACATCGACGACCTATCTGGCAATCGCTCAGTAGAATACTACTTCCTCATAAAAGAAGTAAACCGCCTGGTCTATGAGATGGTCAGAGACGAGATCAAACTGGTTCTCCACGATAAATCTAAAGTCAGGAAAATGGAAGTAGCAGAAACGGACAGAGAATACGCCTTCCATATTACCAAAGGGGCTTTATGACTTCCAGGCAACGCCTTTTGGATTATGTAATGTAGTGCCCAACTTTCAAACCCCAATGCAAACCACATTAATTATAATATTCCCCAAACATTGTGTAATATACCCAACCGACGTCCTCGTCTTCGGTAGAGATATTTGAGAGCTTAACGCAAACCTGAGGCGTGATGGACCAACTGTGAGGTGCGAGGTTGTCTTTGAACCCACAGAAGTGCCTATTTCTGCTGTGGTTAGTCAACTTCATGGGCCATACTGTCACTTCAAGCGAAAATAAGTCACCGGTGACAGTACAAAGCAAGCGAGTACCTGGTCAATACCATTTATTTAGAGGAAACGTCGTAGCTCCCTGAGCGTGACAGGTTACTACAGACATTTTGTTGAAGATTTTACTACGATCTCAAGCCCACTACATAAAATGATGGAAAAGCAGGCCAAAAGAATTTGAAATGGAGGAAAAACATGGAAAGCGTTGGCCGAACTAAAGCGATTGCTCTGCTCCTCACCAGTTCTAGCCTCACCATTTTGTGCTGGATTCTGAAGCTAGTAATACCGTGGTGGGCGGTGAACCCTCACAAAGGGACAAGAAAGAAAAGGAAAAATTCATTGCTTACGCAAGTGCCAAACCCAATAAAAATAGTAAACCGAAAAATACAACATAATGTGAGCTGTTTATTGTCCCACAATAATTAGACACCTCAGACAATACCAGATGGCGGACCATCAGACTCTCACCCGGTTAAAACCGCTAAAGACCATAGACCGTTTGGTTGTACGCTGGTACGAGGAACTGCAGCAGTACGATTACGTGGTATAGTACAGAAAAGGTGATACGTATAATGATGGAGATGCTCTGTCTCCCAGAACAGTAGTACAAAATTTTTGAGTGAGCTTACTAAACATAGTTGGTGTAATGTGCAGAGCACTGGCTACGATACAGCCCTCTAATAGGACAAGCTCTTTACATCCTCTTATAAACTCACAGAGGAAGAGATGACCCAGAAGAGCAAGACGGCCAGAATGTTCGAAACTCGCTCTAGAGGGTGAGGTTCTATGACACCAAGAAGGCGTTAGGACTCCCAAGCGCCTAATGGTCCAACAATCATTAATACAAAAAATTATTTTAGAGTTTCATGAGCAACTGGGTCACGGGAGTGAAAGGAAGATGCTAGACGTCTCGAGCAGGAGATGCTAGTGGCTTTTGCTCAGTCCAGACATACTTTATTTTTACCTAGCCTGCGTTACCCACAACAACCTTAAAGGGCTCTACCCCACAGTGATCTCACTACTGTAAGGGAAAGAGCAGGTATTAACAGCATGGGTCCTTCACCACCCACCACGAGAGGGGGTCCATATATTCTAGACACGGTAAACTGCTTCGTGAAAGCAGCCAAGGCTGAATCTATGAACACAAAAACTCTGAAACGGTAACTTCAATTTTCTTTTGTCAGTAAATTTGCCAAGACAAAGTGTTTGAAACAGCGAATAGCGATCAGAGCGCTAATTTTGGTAGCCGACCCTTTGCTGAGCCATGCAGGACCTTCCGGATTTCCAATAGACACGACTCCTGGCCATCCCCAAGGCAATGGATAGGTGCAATGAAGGTATTACACTCTGATTGGACCGATTAGGGCTTTTACTAAGGAAACACAACCGGAGCATTGGTATTAAAACTCGGATAATGCTTTCTTACTTGTAGGGCTACAGTCCATACATCAACCGGAATTTCAACAATCAAGATTCTCACAGGACTTAGAATGAGAGTATGTTCCGACATCTTAACAAACAAGGTTGTAGCGATCAGCAGTATCCCTAAATAAGTACTGTGACAGAAAGAGGCATAAGAAAACTTACAACTTTGCACGCAAACATTCACGACTTTCTTATGTCAGGCAGAAATATTGCAACAAACACAATCACCTCAAGTTCCATCACCAAGGAGCAAAGAGGCATTTCAAGTGACGAAAGTCACCACACAAATAAATTACCTCGTCTGAAACACAAAACTCCGATTTCAACTAATCACAGCTCATCACAACAAGATGCGTCCGTAAAAAAAAGAACAAGTGTATTCAGCGCGTGCATTTTTTAATGTTTCCTTTTCTAAATACTTCCAGTAAAATGATGCCCCTATTTAGTAGGTCTGCGCATTCCAAAGGACTGAAGGCCAAGGTGAAAAGGCTAAACGCTGAACCCATCACAGCAACTAATTAAAGTACATAAAGAAACACTTCAACAAATTAAAATCCAACCCTAATGTTCAAGCAGCTAAATATTTGGAACAAGAAAACAGTTTCGAGGTGATGTCGAATCGGACTACCATGTGGTAGAATCGAAGTAAATAACCTGCGGATGACTAATTCGCCTATTTCTTAGAGTGGATGCATACACTGGTTTTAATCCATTTGACCTCGACAAATTTTTATATATCTTGTTCTCAGACCCATTCCCTTAAAAAACCCTTTTGTAACTGGATCCAGTATTTACAACTAGAATTCGACCTCAAACGACTGAATATAACTTATTATCTGGACATCATAAACTAGTCAAAACACATTGATTCCTGACGTGTCCAACTGTTTCCAGTGCTACTTTGGTACCATAGTGGATCCTGAACAGATATTCCAGAAAAGGCACCGCTGTAAACGATGTTTTCATTGGCTTTCAGAAGGAAAGTGAGAACATGATAACTTAATTTAAAGCCATTTATCAACTTTTGTGTAATTTTACCTTGCATCAGAATAAGAAATTTTAATCCTAACTGAAAAATATTTGCCATCTCAAAATTTAAGCCATTGAATGTTATGTGGAAGAGGTTATAAACTACTCGAAGGTAGTTATAAAGCATAGCGCGAGTTTAAAATAGTGCTGGTGGAAGTTAGGAAAATTTTTAACATTAGTCTATCGGGAATATGGCTGGTAAAACTCAAGGACATGCTTAACTTTTACCATTCTGATGTAAACTTAAATTGAGATTTAAATGTGTAGGCACCTAAACATAAAATCTGGCATTGACACAGAGAAATTCACTGCTTAAAAGAGTGTGAATAAAACAGATACCGTAGTATTTCAAGGATTTTTTGTAGAGTTTAAAATCTTTGGACATTAAATGCACACGTGTAGATGTGAACGTAACAAAACCATTAAATATCCCTCCTGATAGATAAATATCTCGTCAATGGATTTGTATTAGAACTGTTGAGAATTGTGGAAGTTCCTTCTCCACTAGTTTCGTGCCGGGAGAGGTAAACGTGATTTCATGCTGTTATTCTAAACCTGACGAGAGTGGATGAGTCTGTGTGAAGTGCTTCTGTTGCGTCTTAGCTCCTGTTCGTTACATCAGCTCTCGAGATGGAAACGCACCAATGAGTGGGCTTGCAGCTACGTGGGACTCGAAGCGTAAAAAAGTGTAGCACATAAGTCGTCAGGGGGGCTGTCAAGTAAGATTGCACACTGGCATTCCCTTTGGTGCCCTTCTCTTCGCCAGGAATTGCGTGCTTATTGTGCCTCGTCTACTCATTTACTAGAGCCACTTCTTGCGGCACAGGTCCCTTGCTTTATGGAGGTGGTGATGGTGTGAAAATCTAGATCTCTCTAGTAATCTCATTCAAGTAATTTCCACTCTCATCTCTTTTACAATCCCCTGCATCTATTCGCTATTTCTTTCTTTCCAAGCTGTTGACTCTGTGTGATTTTCCCAATAATAACTATCATGTATATACTCGGTAGTGTTTTTGTTAACGAAGGTTAAATCTGACGGTGCAGTCAAAATGCATCGTTATTCTTTAATCAGGTTTCAAGCATAATTCATTGTGGAAATGTAATTCGGCTGTTTGTATATCTTTGATAATCCTTGACGGGTCCGGTTACTAAGACTTTACAAAAAGAAGGAAAATTTGCTCTACACGAGAATGATGGCTTTAGGAAAGTATAGATATAACAATGCTTCTTTTAACCCATAAATTTATAAATTATGCTATCACGTAATTTAGATATATGCCATTTTCCTTGAATTGCAACTCTTCAAACTCTCTTACTTATGCTGAGGGGGGAAATACAATGCTATATGAAAGGGGTCGTAAACTACACAAGGATACTCACAAAGCGAAATGCATGTTTAAAGAGAGCTGAGCCTGCTTTACAGCACACGGTAGCTAATACCTATCAATGTGAATGATTGAGGGGGATCAAATCTTCAACTTGCATTATAGGGAATTTAGAGCAATTACTAACATCGGTTTTGAGGAAATATGACTCTTAAAACTTTAGGCAATGTTTTCCCCATACATTTAATATGAACTTTAATGAAAGAGTCTCTAAAATTTTCTTAATTGCACAAGCACATGGATTTGAAATGGGCATCCACATAAAGAGAAACAAATTGCTAAGATAAGCATGAATGAAACAGTTGTCATTGCAGTTCACAGAATTTCAGTGGTGATGTTGTTAAGATTTTACAGAATTTCAATTATCCAGAAAGCCTTTGACAAACATACGACAGTAAATACACGCCGAGATGTGAAAATAACTAAACTCTTCAGCTTCGCCCATAATATACTAAATTTCTCGTTAATGGATTAGTACAAGAGGTGTTAGGAGTTTGAAAGCACTTTTGAAACTAATTTCATACTAGGAGAAGTATGCGCGATTCCATATAATTATTCTGAATCAAAATTGAATGCCTGAGTCAGTACAAAGTGCTGCTATTGCTTCTTAGCTCTGGTTGGCTACGTCAGCTCTCGAAATAGAAGCGCGTTATTTGAGCAGGCTCGCATTTACGTGAGACTTGAAGCGAAAAGCAGTGTCACACGTGAGTCGTCGAGGGGGTTGGCAGGTGGGATTGCACATAAGCAGCGCTTCCAATGTCTTTTGCTTCGCCAAGGCACCAACCATATCATGAATTATGTGCACACTTAGCATGCATAATCTCAGAATTCACGACAGGCACTTCATGGGGCACTGATCACCTTCTTAGTAGAGCTGGTGAACGAGGTAGTAGCATTCCCTTATTGCTAAGCTGGCTTGTCTTTGT